TACTCGAATTTGGACGAAACAAAATAAATATTAAACCGGCTGATTGTCAAAGCGCGCAAAAAGATGGGAGTTGGCCATCTTTTCGCTTCGCGCTGCAGCTTCAATGATCTATGTGGCATGCTTTGTGCATTTTCATACAATTCATCTTAGCTGTCAAAGCGAATCTGTCACGTAAAGCGAAGCAAACGTTTTATGTGGCATCAGCTTAAAACACCAATGCTAACCAATAACAAACGAATAATCAACTTTGTTTCTGATGCGCTGATTGCTCTAGCAATGCGTTTCGATAACTTTTCGGCTGCGTTTTGGAACAGTATACATTGTCAATATTTTGTAGTTCGACGTTATGGAAATCAGCCTATATCAACGAAAGACGAATTCATACAAGATGATAGCGAGAGCACAAAAATTACTCTAGAAATGTATACGCACAATCACAAACATGAACAAATGTACAAGAAATACATAATTTTTGACATTCAGTAGGTACAATTCGCATTATTAGATTTGTTTTCGTTTGTACTACATAATTGCATATATACATGTACACGAACATATGTACATACGCACAAACATATGTACATACATACAAACATATGTACAACCATTCAAACATATGTACATACATGAAAACATTGCTGTCCATAAGTGCATACACCTTCGTATGTATGCGCGTTGAAGATGTTTGTGCTATCGCCTTGTATAGCCGTCAAAAGTCGCTTTCTTTCTTTTTTCCCCTGCTCTATACTATATCTTCTTTCTTACTCATGCAATATTTTCAGTTTGAAAAATTTCGATCTCCATTTCTGCGATACCGCCGCCTAAGTAGTTTCACTTCAAAAAGGTGCCATTCTTTTTAATTCCTCCTACTGTGCTAACACTCATCAATGTGCCGCACGCACAGGCAAACTTTTCGATATGAAATCACGAACTGGGAAGTGTTTTTAGCACACATACAGCGTTGTCACTAACAATTTTTCCCCCTACCAATTTTCTTCCCAAATCCGACCAAAATCGTTTACAACCTACCAAATAAATTTCAATTACAAAAAAGCGTTCTGAAAGCATACAATTCATTTATTTAAGATTAAATGTTTCGAATAAAACTTTAACAAAAGAGGTAAAATCGGTAAATCTTCTGTAGAAACTACCTTAGCTAGTGTTATTATTGGTAAAAGTTTTATATCTTCACGCTTGAAATCAAATCTTAATTTTATTTGGTCCAAAAACTTTATGTAAAACTTTAATATAGTGGTTATGATTATTTAAATTTGTAATGTCCACCACTAAATCTAACTTCGAAATAAGCAATCCAAGGGTTTATTCTTAAATTTTTCCAAACAAATTTCTGTCAAAATATACTATAATTATTCCATTCGAACTAATCAAATACAATTTCCTGTTCTCGAAGCAACCCTACACGTAAAAAAATTCTCGCATGCGATATTTATATATGTATATCCATACTACAATGGGTAGAAAAAGTACTTTTTCGGTCAAAATAGTAGTACCAACCATGACATTTTCTGTATAATTGCCGAAGCCGAGAGTTTAAGCCTGCTTTACGAAAAGTAGTTACTTCCTTTCCATTTCAACTGCGGACCAAGTAGGATTACTTCGAGGAAGTCTAAAATTCACCATTAAAATATTGAAACATCATTATAAGTAGTTTACTTATTTTTTTCTGCTATCAATGCGATAGTTTAGTAAGTTTTCATTTTTTTGGTGATACCATTACACCCTTAATTCATTGGGCATGCTAGCTGGCATTTATTAAAAGCGTGAGATTTTTGAGACACTCAAAGCTTCCAATTGAGTTTGCCATCAGAGGAGACTGGAAATCATTCATTGCTTTAGCAAACAAAACCAAAAGAAGGTAATACGCTAAAAGCTCATTTATTCTCTACGGCTCTCTTATTGCTTCCCTCATTGTCTTCTTTGTACACAGATTCACGAACACTACTGTCCCGTGCCCAAATCGCACCAGTCTTCAGTATCAGGCCACATGCTGGCCACGCGGTCTCGGCGTGTTTTCCTAGCTCCTTCAGCGTAAGAAATCTAAACACCGCACACCCCTCGGGGGCTTGGGAGAAAACCCTAAATCGGACAATTATTTAACTAATTACGGAAATTTTAATATTCCGAAAGGTGCGAAAACCGTATCGATCAGCTTTCGCGTCCAAAAGTGTAAAAAAAAATAACCAAATTCGTATGATATATACTTATATAAAGCTATAAAGTTCAAGCCTGTATATAGAAGACCAAAAACTAATCCAAGACAAAAAAAAATAAAATATTATATATACATATATAGGTATATATATATATACATATATAGGTTTAGGTGAAGAAACCACGCGGAGTAACCATTTTAAACATATGTAATACTACTGGAAAGACAAAAATGTGCAAGTTTCGTCAAAGAAATAATTTGCTAAGTGTAAATATGTACATAATATAGGTATTTAAAATTTAAAAAAAAAAACATTTTTTTTTTCTAATTTAACGTAATTACCCTCTGCGGAAGTCTTTGCATATGTATGAATATAATCGACTTTAGTGCATTAAAAATTTAAAAATTTACCAAAAAAAAAACGAAAATTAAAATTGGGTCATAAATTTTCCGTTGTGTAAAAGTCACATGGCCACCCTCGTGTTGAAAACACTAGACATACATACATTACGCCGGTCGCTTAAATCAAATCGAACAACACCAAAAGCAAGACAAAGTAATTTAAACTAGAACAATTACAACAACAAAAAACCAGAGAAAACTGCAAACATAAATTTTCTTCAAGTCTACATAAACAGGTTAACTCTCCACTGCAACAACCACAAGAAATGCCTTTCAACGTGAGCTGTAAATCAGTGGGTAAGTTATTATATACACTTTGATGTCGACTTTTCCTTTGTTTTTTTTTTTGCTTTTATACCAGCTTGACATTGGAGCGGATTAAGAAAAGCTTTACTTAAGATCATTAAGCACCCTCTCCTGTGTCATCACCATTTTGCCGCTGGTTTCTTCTTTTACATTTCGCACTTGTTTTCATTTAGCATATGTATATATGTACATGCATGTAAGAACGTAAATGAAATAATATAATTGAACTAAACGTACATATATAAGTACATATTTACATATATAGATTTACCTGTATACTGCCGGTAGAAGTTTTTTTTGGGTTGATGGACTTAAGTACATAGGCATACATTTAAATTTTGATAGTACTTAACTGAATTAATTTTTCCGGGTGTTTTATAAATAACAGTAATAACTAAAATTGCATTGAAATTCTAAAAGAAATTTTACGAACGTGGGAAGCTTTTGGTTCAAGGCATCCACACTAACTATTTGATTAAGATAAAACATAGTTTTTTCATGCACTAAAGTACTACGTAAGCAATACCTACGAAAAATTCCTTTAACTTAAATTTTTCTTTCACTAAGAATAATTGTTTTCTTAAGCTTACACCCTATTGTCTTAGATTAAGTTTGCATTGGTAGAAAATAAATATAATTTTGAAATAAAATATACTGAAAACAATACTCTCCTGAACTTGACCTTGGTTAACATTTGGAACGGATGAGCATATAAGCGCCATGATTGGCTAAAACTATTTTTTCCGTTTCCTCGTTGTAGGGGAAACTAATGTGTTGGTAACGTAACCGGACATGGGGTTTTCAACAAATGGCAGCCAACGAAAACCATGAATAGGTGGGTAGTGAGCTAGCAGATCGACTTCATCTTTGATTTGCTACATATCCGGCAAAGTTGAGAGAGCCTACAATGAGAGTTCTGAAGAGTGCTTAATTACTTATAATACCCGTCCCTATGCGCGTCTTTACTAAATTAATTCTTTTTGTTCACTTCTTATTCTCTTTCTAGCTTAATTTTTTTTGTTTGTTACAAATTCGGGACTCTATAATAAAATAGTGCCGCAGTGTAAAGAGCAAATAGGATAGCCAAGAACCATCCCAGCCACTGAACCTAGCCCAGATCAATGGGTCCTGATCGGCTATCCTAACAGCCCAAATTATTGCCTTGCAAGTTACCACCCTGCAATGTTCAATGCGGTAACATATTTTTGGCGCCCAACGTGGGGTAACGCATGTCTGGAATGTTGCAAGTATTACACCTTTGATAAAATTTTATCAACTCCTAATTAGAAAACAAATAATTCCGACTTGTTTTGTCTTATTTTCCGTCGAAGTAAATTTCAATGCCATAGATCTGATTAAGTTCTGGTTTAGAATTCAAGCAATTAAGGGAAGATTTTTCAGTACCTGGCTCAAAGCAGAGTAGCTGCATTACTTTAAAATGTTTGGGGTTCGACCAGAGTTTGAAGTTCCAATCTTAGCAAGATGCATACAAAATAGATCCCTTTACATTCAGAATTTTTGTGTTAGTTTTATTTTTGTGATCAATTTAGCTTGATTTTTTTCGAAATTATTGGATGTATTTCCAATGATGTTTGCCGCTAGAAATCGGTTTACACTTCTTTGTCTTTTTGGTTAATTATTGCTGGAAATTTTGCTGTCTGGTAAAGGCTTCGGACAACAAACCGCAAATAAAAGAACCATGTTTTGTTTTTCCTTTTAGTTATGTTCTGGTTAGGTAAGATTCAGGAAGACAGATTAATTTAAATCTAACAGCAGTTCAAAGATTGCTTGCCGGATTATAATGCTAATTGTCCACAGTTGCTGGCATCTGTGCTAAAATAAGTCCATAACCAAATTTTTTTCCCCCACTCTCTCAATTCAGCCTTTAAATTAAGTACGTTACCGAACATTAGTTACCTGAAAACCACAAGTGAGGAACCGACGAAACCTTAGCACAAAAAAAAAAAATTTTTAGTAACTGTTTTTATTTAAAGTAACTTACTTATTTAATATTTTTTTCGCTTAAAAAAAAATGCCGGTTATAAGAAGTACAGAAATCCCTACAGGCCTGTCTGCAGTGGCTAAAGAGTCATGTGACTGTGCCATTTGTCAAGAAACAATGACTGAGGAGCAAGACTGTGTAATTACTTTGTGCAACCACGTATATCACAGGGAATGTATAGGAACTTGGCTTGAAAAGCAGCACGATTGTCCTTGTTGCAAAAGATTATGTCATGTTAAAGACTGGTTACCAATTACCCTCAAGCAGACTGAGCAAAGCTTTCAAAGTAGACAAAGTACCAATTTTCGAGGCCGCGGGCATAGACAATTAACTCGCAATAGGCGTCGTAATAATACTCCCAGCTCCCAGTCGTTAATAGAAGGTGATAATAATCAGCAAGCTGCGCAAAGCCCTCGTTCCTTAAACCTGTCCATGCCAGGAGGTGATTCAGTCGATAGAGATGTAACTAACCTCTCTCATACGCAACGTAATCCAAATAATCAAGTTCGCGACTCTGGTGAGGTAGTGGATTCCGATCGAATATCACAAATGGTAGAAGAAAACGTTAAGAGAATTTTAGCTGGGTTAAATCTCGATCAAGATAGGTTCCAAAACCAGGCTTATATACGCCAATCTAATGACCCTCGTTACCTTGGTAATAGTAATAATATTAATAACCCGAATTGTTCGAACCTTCGTACTGATTAAGTGATAAATATAGTACAGCATTGGAATATAAAATACAAAGGGTCCTCCAAGGAATTAACTGTAGAAGAATTTCTCTATCGTGTTAGAGCTCTTACAGAGATTCACTTGAACGGAGACTTCAATTTACTGTGTAAACATATACCGTTGCTTCTAACCGGAAAATCCCGCGAATGGTATTGTCGCTTTCATAAGCAAAACGAAATTATCGAGTGGCAAGATTTTTGTGCGGCCATACGGTACCAATATAAAGATCATAGGTCCAATTTTGATATCTGGGAACAAATTAGAAGCCGAAAGCAAAAGCCCAGTGAGACATTTGAGGCCTTTTATGATGATATTTCTTTGTTGTGTGACAGACTATCTTGCCCACTAGACGAAGAGAAGTTAATAGAAATATTAACCCGAAATTTAAAACCGCAAATTCGCCACGAACTGTTATATGTCAACGTTCGCTCTATTGCACAGTTGAGAAAGCTTTGTCAAATGAGAGAAAATCTTTTAGCCGAGGAGAATTTTCGAGGAAATATTTCAAGTATCGAGGAAGGTCAGCTTCTGGAAGGGGATGAGCACGTAGAGTCCGCATTGGAACTCGCTGCGATACAGCAAGCGAATATTACTAAATGCTGGAACTGCTCCCAAGATGGTCATCATTGGCAAGATTTCCTTGCTGAACGCAGCATATTTTGTTATGGCTGTGGTGAGCCAGGAATGTACAAGCCTCAATGCCAAGCTTGTGCAGCTTGTCGTTTGGAAAACTTGAAGACGGGTGCGGTTCGACCACCTCGTACGCACCCAAACTGAACACTGCCAATATAATTCAAAATAACCCAGATCTATCGATTCGGATTAACAATTCCGAATCGAAAGTAATTGCCCCTTTCACGAGTCACAACGCTATGAGTAACGACAATACTTTTCCAAGCCACATGTTGCCCTATCATGAAAGACTAAAAAATTACTTAGAAGCCAAGAATAGGATATTTAGTCAGTCACCTACGTTGAAATCCGAAAGAAATACCGCAAGAATACGTAATTATTATAAGCATGTCAGACCGACACGAAAGCTTTTCCTTTCAGCCGTGTTCGAAAATAAGATCGACAATAGATTGTATGCCAAAGTAAAGTTCTTAGACTTTGAGGAGTTAGGGCTACTGGACACCGGTGCCAATATTTCCTGTGTGGGAACAGATTTGGCGAAAACAGATTTTTCTAAATATTCGCAATTTCATCCCTTAAAAACCTCGGTAAAAACCGCTGACGGTAAACCACATTCAGTCAGTGGTTATCTAAGCGTTATTGTCGAATACCACGCTGTAAAAAAGCCTTTGAAAATTTTTGTTAACCCAACTATTACGAATCGGCTAATTTTAGGTATAGACTTTTGGAAAGAATTCGACTTGGCCCCAGGTTTGATTTCTTGCATATCGGCTGGTCAATTCTCTTCGGTTGATACCATCACTAATAGTGGTGTAGACACCGCTGAAAGCAGCAAAGGTAAATCTGAGAATACTGACGGCAACTTCCCTCTTACAAAAATGCAACAGCATCAATTAGAATGTGTAAAAACTATGTTCCGAGTTTTGAAATGCAAGGATTAGGCCTCACGCCCTTAATAAAGCATACGATTGACGTGGCGGATGCCAAACCAGTTAAANTCGACCACCTCGTACGCACCCAAACTGAACACTGCCAATATAATTCAAAATAACCCAGATCTATCGATTCGGATTAACAATTCCGAATCGAAAGTAATTGCCCCTTTCACGAGTCACAACGCTATGAGTAACGACAATACTTTTCCAAGCCACATGTTGCCCTATCATGAAAGACTAAAAAATTACTTAGAAGCCAAGAATAGGATATTTAGTCAGTCACCTACGTTGAAATCCGAAAGAAATACCGCAAGAATACGTAATTATTATAAGCATGTCAGACCGACACGAAAGCTTTTCCTTTCAGCCGTGTTCGAAAATAAGATCGACAATAGATTGTATGCCAAAGTAAAGTTCTTAGACTTTGAGGAGTTAGGGCTACTGGACACCGGTGCCAATATTTCCTGTGTGGGAACAGATTTGGCGAAAACAGATTTTTCTAAATATTCGCAATTTCATCCCTTAAAAACCTCGGTAAAAACCGCTGACGGTAAACCACATTCAGTCAGTGGTTATCTAAGCGTTATTGTCGAATACCACGCTGTAAAAAAGCCTTTGAAAATTTTTGTTAACCCAACTATTACGAATCGGCTAATTTTAGGTATAGACTTTTGGAAAGAATTCGACTTGGCCCCAGGTTTGATTTCTTGCATATCGGCTGGTCAATTCTCTTCGGTTGATACCATCACTAATAGTGGTGTAGACACCGCTGAAAGCAGCAAAGGTAAATCTGAGAATACTGACGGCAACTTCCCTCTTACAAAAATGCAACAGCATCAATTAGAATGTGTAAAAACTATGTTCCGAGTTTTGAAATGCAAGGATTAGGCCTCACGCCCTTAATAAAGCATACGATTGACGTGGCGGATGCCAAACCAGTTAAACAACGGTTCTACCCAGTCAGCCCAAACGTTGAAAAACTGATGTTCGACGAGGTTGACCGAATGCTAGACTTGGGTGTTATTCAAACCTCAAGTAGTCCCTGGAACTCACCAATGCGATTAGTGGTAAAACCCGGTAAAGTTCGCTTGTGTCTTGATGCTAGAGGACTAAATGAGGTAACAAAAAAAGATGCTTATCCCTTGCCAAGCATCGAGGGTACTTTTTCTCGCTTACCCAAAGCCAATATAATCTCTAAGCTTGACTTAAAAGATGCGTTTTGGCAAATCGAATTAGACGACAATTAAAAGCCATTGACAGCGTTTACAATTCCAGGTAGACCATTATACGAATTTGTGGTGATGTCATTTGGGCTGTGTAATGCTCCATCAACCATGTGTAGGTTAATGGATGTTATTATCCCCCCGGATCTTCGCCACTGTGTCTTTGGATATTTAGACGATCTCTGTATTGTCTCAGACACATTTGAGTCGCATTTATCCGTGTTAATACGAATTGCTGAACAGTTTAAAAAAGCCAACCTAACACTTAATATCAGTAAAAGCCAGTTTTGCGTTACGAAAGTTAACTATTTAGGGTATGTCATAGGAAGTGGTGGAATTTCTACCGACCCCTCGAAAATCTATTCCATTCTGTCATGGCCTGAACCAAAAAATCTAAAACAGGTACGAGGATTTTTAGGGATATGCGGTTGGTACAGAAGGTTTATTAAGAATTTCGCAGAAGTAACGTACCCTATTACCGAAGTTCTTTCTAGTTGAAAATGTTGCTGACGTCAGCACCTATTTTACAAAAAAATTCTCCCTTCATTGCGATGCCAGTAATTACGGAATTGGTGCAGTATTGGTTCAGATATCAGATGAAGGAGTCGAAAAACCGATCGCCTATATGTCAAAAAAATTAAACTCTGCACAGAGAAATTACAGCGTGACTGAACGAGAGTGTCTAGCAGCTCTTCTTGCCATTGAAAAATTTCGCTGTTATTTGGAGCTTCAACAATTCGAAGTCATAACCGACCACTTGAGTTTGGTATGGCTAATGCGACAGCAAAACCCTAGTGGACGTTTGGCACGCTGGACGTTAAAACTGCAGGCGTACAAATTTACTATCTCTCACCGGAAAGGGAAGGAAAATGTCGTTCCTGACGCTTTATCGCAGATGCCGGAAGGAAATGACATAGCCTCTCTCGAGGTAATAGGCCCAGAAATTGATCTTGATTCACCAGCCTTTTCTGACGACGGCTATGAACAATTGAAATCTAAAATTGTAACTGAACAAGATAAACTGCCTGACTTGCATGTTGTAGATAAATTCGTGTATATTCGTACCGAGCATAGCAGTGTGAACCCTTCTCAAGAAGAAGAATCATGGAAGCTGTGGGTACCGGAAAGCCTCCGTCTGGAAGTTATTAAACGAGCCCACGATTCTGTCATTCCTGCACATGGCGGTATGAATAAAACCATAGAGCGCATTAGGCGATGTTTGTTCTGGCCCGGCTTGGTTAAGCAAGTGCGAGACTACATACGAAACTGTGAGATTTGCAAAACTACCAAGGCGCCTAACACTACCCTTCGTCCGCCTATGGGTAACCAAGCCAACTCGGTGCGTCCATTTCAGCAACTTTATGTCGATATTTTAGGACCATACCCACGCAGTCGAAAAGGAAATATTTCGTTATTAATAGTCGTAGATCAATTTAGTAAATTTCTATGGATATGTACTTTACGGAAGTTCAGTGCCAACGCTATTCAAGAATTTTTATTGAAAGACATTTTTCACTGCTTTGGAGTGCCTGAAACTCAAATAAGCGATAATGGCGTTCAATTTAAGTCTAATGAATTTAATGTTTTTCGCTCGGAGTACGGAATTAACCACGTTTACACTGCCCTGTACTCTCCCCAAAGCAACGCATCCGAACGCGTTAATCGTTCGTTGATTGCTGGAATACGTGCATACATTAAAGACGACCATAAACAGTGGGACGAACACCTAACTAGTATCGCTTGTGCTATAAGAACATCGATACATCAAACAACGAATCGTTCTCCTTATGAGATTTTATACGGATTTAATATGGTAACCTATGCTTCACAATATCGCTTATTAAGGGGTTTAGGCATGCTAGAGGAATCGAATTTTTCTCTTAAACATTCGGAAGTGCGAGACAGTATAACCTGCGAGACAAACCTGTTGCTTTTCAAATAGGTCAAGAAGTTTATCGACGAAACTTCGCACAAAGCGACTTTTCTAAAAAATTTAATGCGAAACTTAGCCCTAAATTCCTCAAGGCAAGAGTGAAAGAAAAATTTGGCAACCATTATTATCTCTTAGAAGATTTACAAGGTGGACCCGTCGGCACATTCCACGCAAAGGATATCCGCCAATGAACTAACGGATTCTGGATAACCTTCTTATTCAAGGATTTCGGGTTATCCAGTTTGTAATGTC